CCTGTGAGAAAAAAACCCAAGAAAAAAACAAAACGGATTATATATATATATATATATATATATATATATATATATATATATATATATATATATATATATATATATATATATATATATATATATATATATATGAATTATAAATTTATGCTCCATAATAATGTATACTCAATGGGATGCAAGCAAAAATAACCATACCATATACATTGTATATGATGCTAGTATTGAGAAGTGGCTTTAAGGAGGGGAAGATACTTTGCTCCTCCTCCAATATACATTTGAAAGAAAAAAAAAAACAGGAGACTCTAGGCCTTCACCCACCCTCCCCAACATCGGATTAACGCATTTCACACCTCATTTCTAAAGGTTTAATGATAAAATATAGTGAAAAAGTAGGGGGTCAGATTTCTATGGGGGTAATTTTTCAACGTGTGTGGAGTCGTAGAATTACCGGCCTGGAAGGGTTTTCTACGGTCGAAAAATGACCCTACTTGCCGTAGAAAATTGACCGGGGGGTCATTTTTCTACGGAGAAATTTGACCCCCTGGTCAATATTCTACGGAGGTCATTTTTCGTCGTTACACCGGATCGAATTCTTCGTTGACAATATCTATAAAGTCTTTGGAAACATGTTCTTATTAAATTTTTTATTTATTTATTTATTTTTTTTAATTCGATGAGCACAAATTGTGCTCCTTTCTCAGCCGAACTGTTTTTGTATTCTTACAAATCATAATTAATTTAATAAAAGATCTACATGAGAGGATTGAAAACTCTTGTTGGCCTTCAATTCGATATATGAATATATATCGGCGATGTTCTTTTTCATATATCGACTCCATATGTCAAAAAAGAACCACAGCATCTGCCACACATACGTTTCATATTGGATGTTTCACCAACTATAAACTTTGATTGAATAAAACTACTCCTACTGCATAAAGGATGCTTCAGCTATTCCATCTTTAGTTTCCCCTATTTATGCATTACACTGATATCACGTACGAGGGCTGTTCGGAAATTATTGAGACATTTACTTTTAACCCACAAAGGACAGAGACAAATTCATGAAATTTCGTCAACATTTTAAAAAGAACAAATAAAACAAATCTGCAAAATTTCTAATTTATAGGATAATTAAATAAGTTTCGGTGAAATTATAAACATGCATATGTGTATTGACCTGGAGCAGCATCGCTACGTCATTTTAATGTCACGTTAGCCGGGGATGTTTTCTTTTTTTTTTCATGTGAAATGATCGGAAAGCGTTACTCTTCTTTCTCTGTTATCACATATAACATTCCAAAAATTAAACTGTCTCTTTTCTTAAAAGATTCTTTAAAAATAAAATAAAGTAACACGAGTGCTGTTGCTAACCCTGTGTAAAATATACATGAAGTGTCATATACAAGTTGACTTAGCATCATGCAGTACCGATTTATGCAACGCGGGTCCTACGTTATTTACTCGTAATAATTGATGGTTGTCCGAAGCTTTGTTTTTACTCTGGTTGAGTTATTTGTAAGAAAGCATCTAATATACCAATGAAAAAACAAACCATTAGACCTTTTTATCGCATTGTTATTGTTTCAGCAGGTCGTTTAGTCTGGACAAGAATTCTCAATACACAAATTTTAGGAATGCTCGCTGCGCCGCCTTCACGTCAAAATCCATTTTGTCGTCGTTAACAGATTTCTATATACCGCGCTTGAATTTTTTAATGATCTTCGTATTTCTGATTGAAATTCTAACAAACCTGCTCAAAATGAAGTCAAAATTAAATTGAAAAATTATATACTTAATTTGAATTATTTTCGCGCTTACTATGGGTCCACCGGGAGTTTTAACGTTAGTGTTACATATTTTCAATATCTGATTTCGTGACTGCGCCGGGTACCCCTACCAGTGACACATTAATATACCATTGAAAAGAAGTAATAAAATATTTGTAAAATATTTTTTTGCTTTTATTAGTCCCTTATCGGTGAAACCGGAGGGGACTATAGGTTTCCTCTGAGTCTGTCCGTCCGTCTGTCTGTCTGTCTGTCCGTCTAGCTGTCTGTCCCTCTGTCTGTCTGTCAGTCTGTCCCACTTGGTTTTCCGCACTTTTCTTCTAAACGCTTGCAGATATTGAGCTGATTTTTGGTATGTGTCTTTACCTGGATGAGTTATAGATTAAGTCAGCATTTCGTTCCGCTACATTGATTTTTGACGGAATTATGGCATTTTCAATTTTTAACGTGAACCAGATTACACTTGCCGGTAGGGGACTAGCATTGCTAATGCAATACTCTCAGAATGCTTGTTAATTCTTAGTGTTTGTCAAATTTTCACCGAAAGACGTTCATTAGAAAGAAGAATATACACGATGTCTCAATAATTTCCGAACAGCCCTCGTACATACGGTGTTTATGTCTCCTACCTGCTTCGCTACGCAAAAACGTGTTCTGAATACGATCAATTTTTCAACGTAGGAAAGCTAATGGCGAAGAAGTTGATGCTAAAGGACTTTCTACATTCTCGCTTCAGGTCCGCATTTCGCAAATTATATTCTCAATGTAATTACTTTGTTTGCAAATATAACATGTCGTTGGATCCCATTTTGGATGACATGTTTCAATTTTTAGACCATTGTTTACTATGAATTACTCCGTTTATTTTGTCAATACAGAGGGCTCATGGTGGGTGTGAATGGTCAACAGGAGATGTTTGATTATTCCTTTCAGGCACTGATCTATCCTTCAGTATTTTCAAGGGTCTGTTGTTTAGGGGGAGGGGTATTTTTGGTTGCCCCTTTTTATCCTATTCACGATTCATATTGTTTACAGGATTTATGATACAATGCCGATCCAGCAAATGGTCTACCAAACCCCTTTCTTTACTCCTTACAAAATATTAACCGCTGTATAGGAGAAACGTCAGGCGTATTCTGGATGTGGTTTAAATCAGATTTGGATTATAAAAAAATTTTCAAAGAACTTTTAGAAAATTTAAAATCACATTTTTTTCTTAAGTCAATAATATCAAAACGTACGACTTTTCTTTATACAACCATTCCTGACAATAATTTTACAACTAGGTTTTTTTAATATCATAAACAACGGTTTCTTCAATAAAAATGGAACTCGCAGCTTCTGACTGGTCATCAAACAATTACTATGTCAAAGATTACTGTGATTCTACACATAAATACTCTGAAGTTGATATTATAAGGATGCTGGAGTTCTTCATCGGAGACAAGATCTTCCAAAAAAAAGCTGTTGGAATTTCGATTGGCCCTAATTGTGCTCCTTTATTAACCAAGTATATCCCTATGAAGTAGAATCTATTGAAAAACTTCTACACAAGAAGAAAACCACTTGCTGTGATCCTCAACTCGACATTCAGATATATCGACGACGTTTTATCAATTAACAATAGCTGCTGCTATTCATTTGTCGACACGATATATCCCCGTGATCTTGAAATGATAGCCACCACAGAGTCCGCCACATCTGTTCATATTATTTGGATATTTTACTGAATAAAGAGGATAAGGGCCAATAAACAACTAAATTGACAAACGAGGTGATTTTAGCTTTTCCTGTCATTAACTTTCGTTATTTTTGTAGTAATATTCCGCTATCGTCTGCATACGATGCTTCAAGTTGTCCAACTTATTCGCTACTCATGCCCCGAGTACGATCAATTTTTAAACCGAGGCAGGCTTGTGACAGATAAATTGATGCGACTTGGATTTCAACAATCTCGTTTAAACTCGGCATTTCGTAAATTCTATGGTCGTTAACAAATGTAACCTATTATATATATTGGGTCGTATTATGGCTGACTTGTTTCATAACAATTGTTAAGCCTTTGCTTTTATACTACATTTGACTACGGAATGTCCCGTCTACCGATCAATGCATAGGGCTCATGCAAGGCTGACCGTTCAACAGGGGATGTTTACTCCTCCTAGCCACCTAATACAACATTTGGAATTTCCACAAGTCCGTATTTTGTGCTGATCACATATTTGTACTGTTTGTAGATGTTTTGATATCGATCATTAATTGTTCGTTATCTTCATCTTTTCATCGACCACTGTTCATTATCGTTAATTTTTTTTTTCACATACAAAGAGGAACATTGGACGAGAGTGTGCATTGAAGAGAAAAATTGCTATTTCTTGATCTATCTGTTCCCCTTCCAGCCGAAGTCTCATTATTATTATTATTTTGTTTTTTTGTGTGTGTTTTTTTTTTGGTTGTTTTTTTTTTTAAATTTTGTTTTGTTTGTTTGTTTGTTTGTTTTTTGTTTTTGTTTTTTTTTTTTGGGGGGGGGACGTAAAATTTATTTCCCGCAATGCAAAAAATGAACCTATTAGAATGATTTTAATATCATTTAGTTATCATTCAATATTATACTTTCATGTAAATTAGTTGAATGTGATTCATCGAGAAACATTTGTTAAAAAAAAAACACTATTACCCACTGAATAATGAAAACACGCCCGCCAGCATAGCAACAGTCAACATTGCTTGACGACGGGTGTTATTCCAAAAAATATTGTCTGCGCAGAATTTATGAGCGCGGTTCACTGTAATATGTATTTGTATAAAACATTCAGTATTCAGCTGCGCCTCGGTTGACAATGGTTTTCTTGGGGTGAAATTTTTCAATGTTACACTCAACTACATGCAGTATTTATATAATATTAACTTCAAACTTTGTGCAAATAAAGTTGCGCTTGATGAAGCATGTTTTGTTTTGTTTTACTATCATGTTTTAGATTGTCGAAATGCACTACTAATTAATTATATTAAATATATTGAAACATATTATGGAGGTTAAATCCATTTGCGAAATTCATAATATTCTAATGACGTAAAACAATGTACAAAAACAACACTTTTTTCCCATCTTTTATCTTACAAAATATTGTTCAATATTTTTTTTCTATACGTACATTGAACTGTACAAATGTTTGGAAAATTTTCTGTTAATTTTTACTGTATAGAAAATATCACTCCATTTCCATCGCGTTTACAACCCCTTTCTGCAAAAGGTCTCCTTTATATAATATAGCTGGCCATACTAAATAATCCACACCATCACCTGATTCTGAAAAGAGTCTATACTTGGCTTCATCCAAAATATCACCTTGTTGTACAGAAAAGTCCAGCAACGCAGGCGGGTCTAAGTTTTTCATTAACCAGCATAATTCAATAGATTTATCTGCGTAATTTTCACAATGTTCTATATATTCTGAGTAAGACTTCTGTAATGATCCTTGCTTGATTTTCTGCAAAGTAAATAATTTCATTTAAAGTTGTGTATGATTAATGAAAATAAAAAAAGGCAAATCATCACATAAAATATTGTACACAAGAATTTGTCCGTCACTTTACCTTTGAAATGTTAGATAAACAGTCCACCGCCACATAGTTTCTAATATGTCTGACTTTTGTTAAGTTTTCTTCGCTCTCCACCTCCATACCCATCACCTTTATACAATAAACCCACACCTCCATAAACAAATATGTAAGCTATGATTTAAAAGTCAAACCACTGATATATGTTTCGATTTATGACTCCAGATACCCAAAACAGAATGATATTTTGTGTTATTAGAAGGAATACTAGAGATGAGAGTGGATAATGAAATAAATAATCAATTAATTGTTTATGCCTCAGTGAAATCCATTTACCAATGAAGTATAATTAGAAAAGCATTTGACATTTACCATTTGTAAATCGTCCAGTTGTTCTTCTGCGATTCGTCCACAGTCTTTGTAAATTGTCTTGTAATACAATTGAATGATTATAAAATATGAATCTCAGATTTTAATAGATAGATATCAATTTCTTCCTTGGGCTAAAAGAAATTTTTTGTCATTCATTATTATATTGACGTAGTTACCTGTAAAATTCTCAGTAAACACTCAATGGCGTCTCTTTCGTCCAGACAAAGTTCTACATCGCTGGTTAAAGACCTTACTGACTTTAGAAATTCCTCCTCATACAGTTCAGTGAACCGTGTCCCTACTTCTTCCACGCTTAATCTACTGGCCTCTACAATTTTTCGTTCACTTTCAGAGGTCTGGTCACCAGCATTTTGCTTCTCCTTAAGTCTATTTCAAATCACGATCGAAAAGCATGAGACAAAATGTAGCTTTAAAACAAATTGGTCAAAATTATGTTTCCAAAAATATGTTATACCTCGTCTGTATTTCCTCGTTTGTTTGAAGTAGCTGTGCTTTGTCTTGAGTCAAGTTATTTACTTTATTCTCTTTTAATTTCAGCTGATTTTCCAAAGACCGAACCCTTCATTTGAATAAAACACAATTCAAAATTTATTATTAGTATTTAATTTATGGACTTATTTCAACGTATTAATATTTATATCGCCAAACTACTAGTTTATGTATTATATGTAAAATGTACATTATAAATTATATTCATTTATTGATGTACACCTTTCCTGCAAGTTATTTTTCTCCACCATGCAAATCTGTTTCTCAGATTTAAGTTCTTGGTTTTCCCTTTCTAGTTGTTCTTCGATCTCTTTTAATTTTTTGCTTTCTGCTTGAATATGTAATACCATTTCTTCGTTTGACACATTTTCCTTCCTACAAAGAGAAAATAATGAATCAAACAATTTGTAAGGCAATACCTGAAAATGGTGAATATGAGTTATTTGGAGACAGACACAAAAATCTGAAATAAAAGATATAGTAATAAAACGAAACTTTACACATTAAAAAAAAGAAAATATACCGGTATTAAACTTCCCAAAGAAATATATAGGTAATTCTACATTCACGGGATTATTATTAGAGGCATATAAAATCGTACTAAATAAACACAAAGAGACATTTATAGTCTACTTACTTGTTTTGATATTCTTTTAACTGTGCTTGAATGAGTGCTTTTTCCTGCAGTATGTGTTCTATTTGATTTTGATAATGCCCTATTCCCTGTTCGTGATCCAAAATTCTACAATTGTAGCCAAATGCGAGAACTCTACCACAAAGCTTGCAAGTCCTTTCTACAGCCACACACCAAAATAAGCACACAAAGTAGATCTAATAGAACCAATAACCGAATTAAAAATAATAACCAAGTATTTCATACCTATTTTTTAGTGTTTCAATTTCTTTGAGATACTTCTGTACTGTTCTCTCCAAACTAGCATTTCTGATATTAAGTGCCTCTTCTTTTTCTGCTTGTGATTGACTCGCTATTTTCCATTTGTTCTCTTTTTCATGAAATCTGTTGTTTATGCAAAATTGATAACACGTATATTTTTTTTAGACTAGAGTTTGGATCTTGAAAACCGAAAGATGTAAATAATAATAGAGGTTTGGTAATAAGTTAAGGACATAGGCAACGTACCTTACCTACTGATAATTTTTCTAGATATTCTTAAGATTACAGTGCCATCAGATGTTCGTAGACAAAAAATCAGCATGCAGTACCAGGGGTTTTGAAAAGATATCAATTAATGAAAATTCTTGTATAATTCAAAGAGAAGTTTACAAAAAATACTAAACATATATTCTAGATGTTTTGTTTATCCAAACTTGTTTTAGAAGTGTACAACAGCATATATAGACATTATAATGTACCACACAGTTCCTTTAAGTATTGGAACTCTTCAACTCCAGGGGAAAAGACAGTAAAGTTCAAACTACGTTGCGTATGTCCTTAAATAATGTAAAGGAAAGACACCTTTGTTTTTCTTTGGCAATTTCTTCCTGCAGGTTTCCAATTGTTTTTTGATAATTTGCAATTTCTGTTTGTTTACTCTCTTCTTCGTCAATGTTTTTAAGAGTCAGTGTATATTCCAGTTCGTCAACCCTGTTCAAGTAAGCAAAGACATCCATTTAACACAGCCAATACGTAACCGTAATATATCAAATTCTAAAGGCGAAGGGCATCAAACTTAGATCTATACTCGACACTCAGGGCCATTGAGCACTAGGGTTCCTTATCTTACCAACGCCTACCGTTATACGGGACCTGTGTTTTTTTAAGGTCCCATCCGAAAGACCCGTGTCTTTCATTTCTTATTTCTTTGCGCTTGGCAAAGGAAAAGTCAATACCCATGTTCACACCTTAGGTTTGATGCGGCGAACGAGAATCGAACCCGGCCTTTCTGATCACTAAGCGAACGTCCTACCACTAGGCAACTGTGACAGATAATTCTTTGTTGTATACCGAGAGCTAAATTTAAATAACTCTGTATCTGCATTTGTGATATTACAAATGAAAACATTTATTCGTCTAACCTCCATCAAACACCAGTACTGTTTATAATTACAAAGGTCACTGTAAACTCAGAAGAACATTATTGGAGATACACTTGAAAAAGGCTGCATTCTTACTTGGCTTCCAGAGATTCTTTTTCCTGTTTCAGAGCATCGTTCTCATTTCTTATTTTATCAACAATTTCTTCATATTCAGTTTCCATCTGTTTTCTCGAGTTCTCTGATTCATCCTTTAGTTTATTATTCTTGGTTTCCATATCTTTAAATCTTTAAGAAAACATTCATTTGAGTTTGTGGCGCTAATTCTTATGAAAATACTGATGTAGTTCAATCCATATTTTGATGTTCGAGAAATAATATCAACTCATTAAATCTTTTAACACGATTATATGCAAAGCATCAAGTAGTTTGCTTTTAATTAATCATTCAAATTTTACCTTCTGATTAATAAATTCTTTTCCTCGACAAGAGCTTTTAACTCCTCTTGATATTTTTGAATTTCTTCTCTCTGTGATTTTGCCGCAGTCTCTTTCATGGTGAGTAGTTTTTCTCTCTCCTCTTCAATGTCATTTAATCTAAGAAATTCGGGTAATATTAACATTTCAACAATGAGATATGAATAGTTTAAAAGATTATAATGATTCTTTTTATTTTGAGATTTAAAACGACCTTTCAAAAAGACAATTTAGCATTTCGCAACAAATCCATATATCTGTGTAATTTGCAACACATAAAAAGTCTACAAAGTTCCTGTTTTTGATAGTAGTGCTACATTTGATTACTCACCGACGACGAAGATAGTCCAGCTCTTCATCCAGCCCTTTCTTTTCTTTCTGAAAACTCTCAATCATATCCTGGAATCGCTGCTCTTTATCTCTTTTTGAGGACTCTTCATGACCTATGACCTCTGTTATTGTCCTTATCAGTTCACCCTTTTTATTCTCAGTGCTAAAACATTTAAAATTTTTAGATCTTTTTATTTACTATTTTAATTTTCTGAATTAGTTCATTGATATTTTTTTCTAAAAAGATGATTCTATTAATATATTAATATACTTGTTCATCGAATAACTAATTAGAATAAATAAGGAAGAAATACTAGTACATTAAAACAAGGATAATGCGAATTAATGCTTACAGCGAATTAATTTTCCTTCAGGACTAGAAAACAGGTTATACAACGAATTCCGGATACATCTGTATTATCAAGCATTTTAAATTTTCGCCAGGCCATTTGCTATAACCTGATTAACTGTATGTTATAAAATTAATTTACTCCGTAAAAGAACATCCTCCCTCGAAAACTCACCAACGTTTTAATTCTGTATTTTCTGTCTGGAGCCGTTCATTTCTTTGATAAAGTTCACTGATCCTATTCTCCAGGACCTCTCTTGTAGTTTTCAACTGTGTTTGCATATTGTCTTTGTATTTCTCATGCTGTTGTAATCTTTCAAAAAAATCATTCATAATTATGCTTTTATTACTTATTTCATTTGATTAAAATGAATAGAATTAAAAAATTTTGGTCAAATTACTTACAATATTAACTATGGGGTTTACTTCCGTGTGATAAACTTATAGCTTGTTATTGATAATCAAGTTTAATCATATATCTTACTGTGTCTGGAGCTTTTCTTTTTCCACATTACTTTCCTCTTTTTCTCGCTGTAATTCCTGTATTTGTTTCTCAAGGTCATTGTCATGTTTTCGTAGAACATCTTCAATATGCATCAACGTTTCAGCCTCCTGTCCTTTTTTGTTCATCATCTTGCTAATTCTATGAAGAGTAACAGGTATCAACATATAAGAAATTTTAAAAGCCCACTCCTCTACTGCCTTTAAAGAATAATCGATATCTTACTTGTCCTCCAGTGATTAGAATAATCGATATCTTACTTGTCCTCCAGTGATTAGAATAATCGATATCTTACTTGTCCTCTTGTCATAAGAATAATCGATATCTTACTTGTCCTCTTGTCATAAGAATAATCGATATCTTACTTGTCCTCTAGTGATTGTTTCTCCTCTTCGAGGAAACCCTTCTCCATTTCCATTTCTCTGACTTGTCTTTCGAGAACCTGTATCTTTCCTCGACTCTTTATTTCCTCTCGTTTACATTTTTCACTCCATTTTTCCTTGTACTGATGAATTCTGCTTAAAGAAGGCATCATAGCTTCTCTTATGATTTACAATAGGTATCTCTTTATATTTTTCTATTTCCAAAGAAATGATGAGATAAACTTTTTCCATGGTTTTCAACTTCATTCTCTTAACAAAGGTACTGTTTATCTTGTTATCTGTTTTACCTATCTTGAAATTGACATTCACATTGCTAAATGGCAAAGAATAAAACAACATTAAATAAAACTACTTATACTCTTTCATGGTTTATCCAATTTTATGAACATTTTGTTTAAATTCATTGTAAAAGTTTCCATTCGATACCTCAACACTGCAGCGTCTCTTTCTTTCTGTAACTTCTCCCTGTCGCTCTGAAGATTTTTAATCACAGTCTGGTAATGTTCAGTTACGATTCCTAATTCATGTTTACTTTTAGCTTTGGTTACATCCTTTTTCTTATCCACTCTGAAATATATGCATTTAAGGAGTCAAAATACTACAGTAAAACACGGTTACAGTGAACACGATTTCAATGAATTCAGGTTTACAATGTAGAGATTTGATATCCCTATACCTCGCCTCAGTTCACATTTCTACTGTTCCTAATACGGATATAACAAGTTACGTTTGTACTTTCTTAGCTTGTTCTACTGTTTTCTACTTCAGTTGAATAAATGATTTTGCGAAATCTAGAAAATGCTACCTCATTTAAACAAATATTTTTTTTTATTCATATGATGAGCTTTTTAATGTTGCAAACCTTGTTTTCATGGAAAAGATTTCCTTTTCCAGTGAGTTCAATTTCTTTTCATATTCCTCCCTCATGTGTTGCCGAAGGATGAGCTCGTGTTCGGAGTCTTCTTCTAATTTCGCCTCGACAGTTTGCATTCTGAGTGTATAAAAACAAAGAATTATAAAAGATTTATACATGGGGATAAAAAAAAGATAACAAAGGATTCGATATATTGATTTCCCAGTTGTCGTTATCTTAAAGAGAACCCTTAAACACCCTTAATGTTTAGATTCAGGTATTCAGAAATTGATTAAACAGTTACCTAGATTTAAGAGAGTGATTCTCCTTCTTTAGAAGTCTGTTTTCTTCTGCTAACTGTTTATTATTTTCATTAACTGCAAAGAGTTCCCTCCTTGTTTGCTGTAGTGTGTTAATATGATTTTCTATCTCTTTTTCGAAAATTCTTATCCTATAAAAATTATAACGAAAAAAATTTCGGATTCTTGTGGTTGGGTGCTTATCAAAAGTCTGAAAAAGCTGTTTCTCAATTATCGATATAAGGTTTTCCCTAATAGATTGTAAAAAATAAAGATTACACTACTTGACTAAATCTTAGTTACACGTTTCCGTGACATATCGTAAATTGTTTTATTTAGTTGATCGAACGACTCGCCTGGATTGTAGCGTGTCTTTGTCCTCCATAAGGTACCTGTGTTTTGATTCCAGTTCATGGAATTTTCTTTGGTTGTCTGATAACAACATCTCGTACATTCTCTTCTCCTTCTTTATTCCAGATTGTATCTTGTTATGAATGGTTTCGTCTGATAACCTGTATTTAATCATAACATTCTCATTATTTATATAAAAAAAAATATGAAAAAAAATTATGCGATTTACTTGTACTATGAATAAGTTCATCTGATACATGTAACTTGTTTGCAACACAATAAATATAAAAAAAATCTTAAAGATTATATTTATTGCACCATTTTGTACCACAAATTTAACAACATACCTTTTCGCATGGCTTGGTTTTGCAGATTGTTCTCGGAGTGATCTATTTTCATTCCTTAAAAGATCCACTTCTTTTTCCAATTCTAATATTCTGCGCCTCATCTCAACAGTCTGTTGATTCACACTGGCTGATATTCCTCTGGATTGTTTTCTCTCTGGTGATCTATTAATGTTACTGATATGTTAATCCATAAGTAATTCATTTATTTCTATAATCCGGTCTCCAGATTGATGTTCGTTTTCATAGTGATATTAATTTGAAAAGTTTTCATTACCTGGTCTCTGCAGTGCGGGGACGAGCGTTCCTGATGCTTTTCGGCCTTTCCTTCGCTGACTGTCTATTACGTAGAGTGTGACAGGGTCGATTTTGAGATTTTGTGATCTTTTTGGCATTATCTTTTCTCGCTGGCCCTCTTGATAAGCGAGTTAAAAAAGAGAAGAGTATAGTGTGTATTGAAAGAAAATATCAACCCTCTTTAAACAGTCGCTCTATTTAAATAATGTCGCAAATTTAAAGTAAACTCTTTTAAATCTCATTAAGCAAACACAAAAGGCTAATAAAAATTGTTCTTACGAAGTGATCATGTAGTCTAGCATTTCGTCCATTTTTCTGGCTGTCAGACACAGTTTTGCTGCTATATCTTCTTCGTCTTCTTCTAAAGCTCCATCCAAGTCAGAATCACTGCCGATGTTTTGATGAAATTCAAGGTCACCTGGTGCTGTTTCCAGTCCTTCTAATTGGGGTTCTTCCTCACTCATATTACATTTGCTATCAAAATATCCCTCAGTTTAATAGTTAAGACTCCAACGGACAATGCGAATACTTTATTCCAAGGCAATTAATGACCTGACTTTGTTAATAGGTCCACAAAATATTTGTTTAGGATCGAACAATAAATTCTCCGCCGTATACAGAATTGCATTTAAATCCAAAACCAATTGTCTTTGAGACTTAGTCTTGAGACAACGGACGACAAAAAAGAACATAGTTAAAGACAATTAAAGTTCCCCGCTCCGCTTCTGATCTCGGAACACTGAAGACCTACGTTTGGAGACATACGAAAAAAGTATTGTCTTATTTTCAGAGACATGTTTCTCTTCATGCATTTTACATTCAGTTTTCACAATAAATCTTTCACCTTAAGAATCTTCCGGTAAAGTAAAGGTATTTGGAATTAAAAGGTAAACACACAAAGTTGTTTGGTGTAAATTTCTGAATGTACTCGCAATTATTGACTTCTAGATTTGAATGCGATATCAAAATTTACTAAACTCCAGATTAGATTCAATAATTATCTTTGGTTAACACCTGGACTTTTCTGATTAATTTATCAACAACAAATGCAAACAATTCCGTACCAGAAACAATTGATTTTTGGGGTTATCATTTCTTTCTTCGTTGAAAGAATTAGCATTGCCGATATTTTTCGATTAGGAGTTCCAAAAAACAACAACATTAAACGTCAATTTGAATTTATGCTTAGAATACATAACAGTTGAGAAATACAATTAACAGAGCAAATTACTAAATAAATGTTAAATCCGTATCCTAGACAGTAATCGTTGTTTCTTTTCCTTTCTAATTGATGTTTCACCCACCGTTATTGAAATATTATAAAGCGAAAGGAAGTGGCAGGTTCAATCTTGCAAAGAAGAACTGGTTATACTTGATAATGATAAAACGACACGTTTACAGAGATTTACAGAGATGTCTTTCTTCATGTTTTTGATTATAGTTAACAATTTAATGTAAATGAAAAACTCAAAATTTGGTTGATTTATATATGTCAAAAATGTTTTATTGTGTAAAAAGAAAATAAATATTATTTAAGCTCTTTCAATAGTTTTGACCGCTGTGGTGACTGAATTGTAACAGCTTCTGTCTCACTAAGTGGTTTGAGTGAATAAATTAAATCGAGTTCGAATAAAGGTCGGGTCAGATCTAATTAAAAATTTCATAAATGCTTATTCTTAAAAAAAAAACCAAAAAATAAAATGAGGTGTGAACTGGAAAGTTTCGGGTGTTTCAAATACCACCTCTGCTACGGCAGGAGATAACATGTAAAAAAAAAAAAAAAAAAAAAAAAAAAACCTAACTGCATCGCCCTGAGTCTAGAATATCGGTATAAAAGTACTTACTCCATTTATAAAAAGTATCTTAGTATATCTCAATATACGATTAAAAGACTCTGCCTGGGATTTAAAGGAACATATGTCATCAATCAATCAATAGGGCAACTATTTAAGTTTCTGAAAAATGTGACTAGACGTGAAATTTGAATAGGTAACTGTTTGTTTTATAAAAAAAAAATATTTTAAGAATAATACATTGGTGTCCAATATAATGACCAAAGTATAAGCAAATGTATATTATATATTTTTTCTCTTCTGCATTTGCCTACATAATGAAAAATGTACAAGGTTTCGTTTGCGTGGCAGGTTAATATTACAATCAACGTGTAGTTAACGTTTAGTATTAATAAGCTTTCTACTTAACAATTCGTGTTGTGAATAAGATTCGAGATGATAATTATTAATATTCCTAATCAGCTTATCTAAGATAAAATTTTATATAGAAAATCATTTCTTTGGGCTGATTAAACATAAATCATCCCGCATCTATGCAACGTCAAATTTCTGATTCAAAGCATTCCACTTAAAATAACTTTATCCGTAACTGATAATGTTCGAACCCCCCCCCCTTCTCGGTATAGCATAATTCTATGCATTTTCCAATAGTATGATTTTCCTCCATTAGTGTAATCAAATGTCCTTCAACCACCTGATCCCTCCACCTTATACATATTTTAAAATACATAACACAAAAACAAAAGGTATGTTGCACTTTGGCACCACGGTGACTTTATTAATTAACCCCATTATAGATTACGTATAATGATGCAGATCACATTATGTAACAATAATCCTATTAAAAATTGACATTTTAAATCAAAATTAACCAATAATTCCCATTAATTATCCAATTAATGATGTAAGTGATTAAATAATTTTCAACAAACCTATTCCTTATGGTCTGAAATCGCAAGACGGAAACGAATTGAAAATTGATTTAATTTATCCATGATAAAGGAAGGTGGAAGGGTGAAGGTGGATTAAAACCGCTTAAAAATTTCCAGTGTGTTAGGTCGGTGTTGGATAGGCTGAAAGCAGGCCCGTAGGAAGCAATTTCACTTTGAGGGTGCACAACCATACATTTTCAGTTGGGGGTGTGCACTATCAACTACCAAATATCTTTGATAAGCAAAAAAAAAAATCATCAGACGTTATTATTGAGGGGGCACAAGCATACAGTATAGCTATGTTTTCTATAGTATTCTATATATCGGCAAAATTATTGGGGTACACCCCCTTGCCCCCCTTCCCCTCCGCGGTTCCTACGGCCATGGAAAGAAAGTGAGGACCTAGGCTACATTGTACCTCTAAAGAGACGCACCCACAATCAATTGATTGCGCCTTGTGACATTTGCTTAACTGCCCATATAAACTATTGAAAGAGCGATAACTCTTGCAAATGTGACAGATAAATTAACGTATTTTAAGCAAGTTCTTGTATGTGTCATTTAAACATCGATCAGCGATTTGCATTTCGATTCATGTCTTCACATGTGTACAAGAATACGGAAGTATGAAGAGGGGACTTACCAATTTGATCAACTCAAACTGATGTACATGTAGCATGTAAATGAAAATGGCAACAGGTCACCAACAGGAATCAGAGTAAATAACTTTCTTATTTCTGAAAATAATTGTTTTTCTGAATTAATGAAAATGTTAATGTTTGCAAAGGTCTATATATTTCAGTATGGTTAAAGCGAAAGTACCTATTGTATACATTCGTTATTCATTCACGATGATCAAACCATGATAATACAGAATGCATCAAAGGAAAAGGAATTAACTTGTATCTTTTCACCCTCAACTTGCTTTATTTAACTAAGTTATATTCCAGGAGGGAATGCTAAAAATTTCCGTACTATCAACGAAAACTAGAACCTTTCCATTTTACTTAAGAGGTTGTGGTCTGGGATATGAAACAAATAAATTACATCGTGGTTTTTTTTTTATTACTATGTATTTATTTATTTCATGTTCTACATCAAAATTTCTGTGCTTTCTTTAAACTGAAATATCTTTTTCATAAAAATGAATGTAAGTCACGCCAAATAACTATGTAAACAATGCATAACAATTTTGTTGGCCATGATTACATGGTCTATAATTTTGATGTTAAAATAATTTTGTTTTCGAGCAATAAAGACAATTTTTACGTGATCTGACGACTAACTATAGTAGACTGCAATACTTAAAATTTGAAACAACTTGTGTATAAATGGAATATTTGATTTGCCCCGAGTAATGAGTTTGCAGTCGGGATACAATAAACTCTGAAGTAAAGAATTACAAGACCAATGATCATAAAAATAATAATGGGTTTAATGTATGCCCTTTCATTTGTTTACTATATTGACATCATCTTAAGTTCTTTTATCTATATTTCCTACTTATGATGGGAGTATTTCATATACATAGAAAACTTAAGTAATAAATTGTGAAACAGATTCTTGATAATGAACATCTCAAACAACAAATATTCTCCCGCTTAACAAAATCAAACATCTTATTATCATTACAAGGTTGGAGTCAAATGATGTCACAAAATGGATAGAAGATTCCTTACGTTACCTAATATCTTGTTTGAAGGAAGAAAGATCTGCATCAGTTTTGAGCAAGTGGCCTAAAATACCAGAGGTCCCTAACAAGGAAGATCTGTTTTCGACAATAAAATCCATTTCTGATCAGTGGGATGATTACTGGAAAAGGTCGAGTAAAGAATACATATTTTAAACTTTTGTAATTTTTTGACTGATGTGGAGAGATATATTAATACATGTATGCGTCTAATCTGTGGTGAATGGAGTCTCAAACTGAGACTAGTGACAATGAAAATTTACTTGTTTCTTAGTAGTTTATAGAATGTCACCATTATTATTGAGTACCAGAATTCCATCACCATTAACGACGAAAATTTAACAATAATATCTTATGTCCTTTTTGTTTTGCTATAAGTTGAGATTTTTTTGGTTTCATTTTGTATCATTGAAAGCATACAATGAAGTTAAGAAACTGTCACAAATATTATATACATGTTTGGAAAAAATGGACTTCAAGAATGGTTATGGACTCCAAGTCATGCGTAGTTTCATGTTTTTCATGTATTTTAATTCTTTTTTTTTTTAAATTTTAGCTGTACTGAACTGCGACGGACTGATGTCCAAAAAGCTGTAATACAAATTGAGAAGCTCACGTCCAAGAATCCCTCTACCAATCTTAAATGCATCACGCAAGACACTTACCACAGAGGAATGCTGAAAGATCCTGTTTTCGTCGCACTTCAAGAAATTTGGTATAAATTGTCAGATTCACCTTTTACAGACATGTGAGTATATTTACCAATTTAATATAATCCTTAAACTTAGAGAACTTAGAACTACAATGTATACTATATAGGTGTATACGGTATAAAATAAATATATGTTGACGTCCGAAAAAAAATCTTCTTTACACATGTAGCTATATATGAATTTATTTAATGCTCTTTATTTTTAAAAGAAAAACTGAAGAATCAACGACCACAGAATACAGGTAAGGGACTTAATAAAAGATTCAAAGCACATTTTGTATTCAAAATAAAATTAAAAGTTACAGTATGATTATATTATATTCAGAAATTTGATGTGTATTATATATGTTATTTCTGTGTTATCAGCTGCATCAACGAGTGGTTTCATGCATACCTACAATACTTGGAAACTGTCCTAAATCTTGAACGCGAGACATATTTCGTGGTTGACTTAATTCCAAGACCACCTCCGCAAACCGATAAGAAGATTATGCAGAGCCTCGAAGAAATTGTGGTATCCTGGCAGGAATTGTTTTCAAGGTGGAATTGAATGAATTTCTTCTTTAGCGTAAAACTAAAAAATTACGTAGTTTGTGTAATTACCAAAGTTTCTTAGGAAATGTAACATTTGAATAAATATGTTTTAATTTAGCAAAGGAATATGAACCAGACTTCTGCAAAATGCTTCAAAAAATATTATAAAAATATTTAAAAAACAAAATTATTAAAAATTGTACCTTTTTATCTTCATATGATAAATTTATTGTGGCTCCAAAAAATGGAAATGGGACCCCCCCCCCCCCGGGAGACACAAAACCCTTATCTTGTGATGAATAAAAAGGGCTTACTAGCTTTCTTCTTATATCCAATGTCTCTTTTTAGAGGAATAATTGTAACTACATTGTGTAAAATGATAATTTAAAAAAATATTCGCAGGACCTTTCTAACTCAAATATGTATATATATTAAACTACATAACTACATTTCATTAAAACCCATCACATACAAACATACATCAAACTCTTTTGGCAGAAAATTTATTATAAATAAAAAAAAACTCTGATGTATGTCCTTTTTCCAACAAAAATGAGAAGTTTAGACACTGTACATCTTGAAAAAGCGATGACCATGCCTTCATTATCCATTTTATCGTTGTAGCAAGTTGTCAACCGAAGATGAAGGAACTACAAAATACATTGAGGCCATTCGTCTAATATTTGTTAGCGGAATCCAGTTAAGGAAGAAGCAACGAAATAGGAAAAAGCTGAAAAGCATAGCTAAATATTTTTTGTAGGTATTTGCAAGAAAAGATTAATTCAAGGGGTGAAGGGTTTTAAGTGCAAGAATTACTCGAAAAATATGTGCAAGTATACAACAACATCATCGATGTAGTAATCAAAAAAAAGGCCTTGGTATTTTTTAACTGTTACGCTTTTGCAATTGGAAACTTTCTGAATCACTTGTATTCATGTAAATTGCATGCTAATGTCAGAATTACATAAGCATTCACTGACTTACTGGTATTTGTTAATTTATTGTAGATCTAGCACCCCTCCCCCTTCTGACGTTTTTTTAAACCCTCATATATTGTCATAAATCTTATTTTTCAGAAGTCAGTATGCAGAAAAGTTGGAGAATAGACGTGAAAGTACTCATAAAAAGTTACCAGAAGATTTGTAAGTTTTTAATCTCGGTAAGGAGTCTTAGACCAATTTCGCTATTTTGTTAAGAATGTCAGATACGAAGTATTAGTCTTATACTTCATATATAAAGTTAATGGCGTTGAAAGAGGAAATATCTCAACCAACAGAACTGTTCACCAGGGCAGTTTTATTCTCTCGCCCAACTGATCTCGGTGTACTTGTTATGAATTAATAATTCCTAGTTCTATGTTAGCTATACCATGTCAAAATTATTTTCTTGTGACCAGTTTTCCTAATTTTTTCAGCTTAATTCGTTTATATTATTTAGAGATATATGAAACTCGTAAATTTACTTACCTTGTCATCGGTCATTTGCAAAATTATTTTGTTAAAAAACATTCTGATAGTACACACAAGTACTCTGAAGTTGAAAAGATGCTTGAGTTTCTGATTGACAATATCTATGTGGTTTTTGGAGACCAGGTCTTCCAACAATCTATTGGAATTTCCATGGGTACCAATTGCGCCCCGTTATTAGCAGTCCTTTTTTGTATTCATATGAAGCAAAATTTGTCCAAAATCTTATACGTGAAAATAAGAAAACACTTGCTGTGGCCTTCAACTCAACATTTAGAAATATCGACGACGTATTGTCAATTAAAAATGTTATTTCCATTCTTATGTCGATACAACATATCCCAGTGAGCTTGAGATAAAAGATACCACAGAGTCTGACACATCTGTTTCATATTTTGATATTTTACTTGAAAAAGACGTTAATGGTAATCTAACAATCAAGCTTTATGATAAACGTGATGACTTTAACTTTTCAATCGTCAACTTCCCTTACTTATGCAGAAACATACTTTCATCTCCTGCATACGGGGTTTATATCTCTCAGTTGATTCGAGACGTAAGAGCAGAGAGAGAGAGAGAGGTGTTTGTGTGTGTGAAGCATAGGATATTGCAATCTTTATATTTTTCAGATTTTTAATTCATCTATGAATTTATTAAATCATAAAAACATAAAATGTCTTCTATATTCAATGTGTATCTTTTCCAGCAGAATATTGGATTTATGAATTTTATGAATATATTTTCTGTCTTAATTAAACAGGCAAGTGGCGTTTAAATTAGGAATTTACGAAAAGATACTAGATGCTTTGGAGGACAGGGTTAATATTGAAAGTATTGAACCTCCTCCTGTACCAAATGATTGTGATGAATGCCTGAAGAAACAATTAAATGCAGAATTCCAAACAGCCTTGAACGCACTGAAAAAGAGAATCAGCATACCTGAGGACTTAGATGGGTAAATTAAGGAAGGATAGAAACTTTTTTAATTGAACGCAATCTGTAAATAATTTGATTGATGGATAGGTGGATGGAGAGAGAGAGAGATGGTGATTATAAAAGAAAGTATTTTTACTTAGAAGTAACCAAGAAAACGGAAAGAGTGAACGCAAGCTCAAAATGGTAGAGGAAGACAATTCAGACCTCAGGTCTGTCATATAGTTCATGTTTGGTTACGAAGGAATTCATCAATAGATGATATTTCATTTTATAGTCCAATGAAAGTATTTTTGTTTTGACTTTTCCTTAGTGACATACACTGTAATTTCAAAAAGTAATTTTTACCTTCACACGTAGTTTTTGGTTCATATCGCTAAAAGGTAATCTTTTGCAGTAAAGCTTACAAAGAAGAAGTTGAAAAATCTGAACAATTCTTAAAGGATATCTTGAATTTAGTGGAAGTTGATGTACCAACTGTAGACGACAAAAACCCCTCTCCTCAATACGATGATGCATTGAAAAAGTTGGAAAAACGGTTGCATATGTTGAAATCAGAAATTGTTTCATTTGAGACGAAATTATCAAGGTATTTGAATTCTGCTTCGTAGCTATATATTTTGTTGATGTCAAATTGCTTAATATATATAATAGATCTCTTTAAAGTTGCAAGAGCGACGCCGAAGAAAAAATACCCAGTCTTCGAGAACAACTTGACCGAGAAGTAAAGGCAAGGTATTGATTACATAAATATTATGTCTATTTGATTTTTATAGCCCCCGTTATGGAAGATTCGAGGCATATAGTTTTTGGTCTTTCTTTTTATCTGTTAATCTGTGTGTCAGCCAAAACTTTAACCTTACCCATAACTATTAAATGGTTGGTGCTAGAGCTATAATATTTCACAAGTATTTCTCATGACAAGACCTTTCGTTTTGATACTAAAACATTTGACCTCCTAACCTTGAAGTTTAACCTACTTTTGCAAAATGTTACCAAACTTTAACCTTGGGCAAAACTTTTGAACGGTTGGTTTTAGGACATATGTCTCTCTCGTGACAAGACTTTTCCTTTGGTACTAATATTTTTTACCTTTTGCCCCTGACTTTGAGTTTGACCTACTTTTAAAAAACTTTAACCTTGGCCATACCTTCTGAACAGTTGGTGCAAGGGCTTTCATATACATGTATAAGTTTTATATTCCTTGTGATAAGACCTTTCCATTGGTACCAATATTTTTACTTCATGACCTTGAAGTATGACCTACGTTTTAAAAACTAAAAAAAAAAGAAGGCATCACTGTTTCACAAACACATATTGTTCTTTTTAAAACTGGTATTTAAAATTAATTTAAAAAACAATAATTTATCAGCCACAAGCTAAATGCAAGCACGGGACATCTAGCATATCATGAGAATAGAGGATTAATCTACCAAGTGTATGTAGTAGCAAAGCATTTTCACTGTCATTGTATATAATCTTTGTCTGATCTGTATCTCTGAAGCCATTATCACACGGGAATGATTCTTTTAATTCAGTTTTTCCTATAGATACTCATGACCAATCTAAATTATCATCATTATTTTCCCTTTTTTTGTGAAATATCTATGAAGTTGCAAATGAATAATTTTTCATGCTTAGACAGTATGGCATAGACTTGATTCAAGGTCACGTCTAAAAGAGCAAGGTCATTATGACAAGTTTCAGATAACCTATATTTCTTAGTCCACAAATGAGAGTCACTATGCAGTTAAAATAAGAATGTATTTTATATCAAATTGTTTACTGCATTATTATTTCTAGTTCAGGGGATATTTCCTTGAAATATTATGAAAGATTTGTTTATCTAGAGAATTACTACAAGAAGAAGAAAAGTTAAAGTCTGAAGTTCTGGAAAAGACACTGGAATCCATCCTTTCATCTACAGAGCAATTTGCTACGGAAGACCTGAAGAATAAATACCCAGCAGATGTATGGGAAAATACAGAACCATGGGTACAAAAGATGAAATCATATTTAGAAAAAATTGAAGTGGTCAAATTAAACGAAAAGAACGAAAAGAGGTATATTGTCATAAATTTCTTATCTAGTATACGAAGATATTTGTTGTTATTCGAACATATATATTTTATACTTATTTTCTTTCAATTGAATGATATTTTGGGAAAGGAACTTAAAGACACGGACGAAGGTATCATATAATCAATATTGCTTTTTAAAAGAATATCAATAAATTTGTTACATTTGTTACACAAAAAATTACAATATTGTAGTCTGTGTCAAAATTACAGTTATATGTGCATTTACTATCACTTTCATTTCGAAGTTAGTCAAATTCAATACACCGATGATGATACTTTAAAATTCTTAGAGATTGGTGATATTTTTATCAGTGGCCTTAACTTTAAGCTTCGCACAATGGAGGGATTACTGACTGCACTTAAGAAAAACACAATGACAACCATTGGTGACGTCAACGCAGAACTTGAGTCATATGATGAGAGTACAAGAAAGTACCTTCAGAAGTGGTATCAGAAGGTACAAAAGAGGTTGGAGTCTATGCTGCTTGAAAAGAACAAGATTCAGTGGTTGGTATTAGTCAAACTGATTACATTCTTTTTTCAAAGTTTTCAAGATTACTTTATAAGTTTGATGTAAGCAACTTACAATAATTTTCAGTGAAATTGCAAATTTAAAACACACGCAAACAGAGTTGGAGGAAAACAGAGATCAACTGCTAAATAGGTAATAATAAACAATATTTCTCTTTCAATTGAACTGATTTTTTTTATAATTAAACCTCAGAATTGGTATGTATATATGCTTCACACCGTAATACCTTTTTTCAAAATTTTTATTTACATTTAGATTAAGTCAGGTTGCAGGTGCCAAACTCAAAGAGAACAACCCAAATATAACAGATTTGTCAGATCCAAACAGACCTTTGAAACTTGCAGAGCAGTTTAGTGAGCTTTATGATAAAGAATGGACCAATGCTTTAGAAGAGTTAAGTAAAACTGAAATGGAGGAAAAATCAGCTATTGACTTGCTTTTAGAGTTAATAACGGTAATTTTATTATTTCCTTTTAATTCTCAAAATTTCATCCGATTCTGTACATGTGTTCCCTATGTACAAATATTAATAGTTTTATTCGTTTACCACAGAAATGCTACCAGTTTTGTTTGAGAGATTCAGAGCAGAGTTTACAGACGTTTCTTATGTGTGAAGATTCGGATTGGAGAATTGTATGTTCTTTCTTTTTGTAAATTACTGCATTGTCTCTCAATCGTATATTATAACGTGGATGATGATATTTTTTCCAAATATAAACGATCTATACTCATACGAATTTGTTTGTCAAGGGTTTGAATGCCGATGAACATCATCTATTATCTGAAACCAGGAAGTCTTTAGCCAAAGTTCACATTCGACAAATAAAAGAAGTAAGTGATATCGGAGAAATTTGATTTGCCCCACTTTCTAACATGTAGAAAGAAGTCTTCTCTTACGTGCAACATACGTTATGATTTAATCCTATAAGCTTAAGAATCCGAAAGTTTGACTTCCGATTTTAAATTCTTGAACTATGAGATTTGTTGCCATATGATTAACATGAATGCTTACATGTAAGTACCAGTACTTATTTATTATTTCAAGAACAACGAAATACAGCATGTTTACATGAAATTGATTTATATTTTGTCATTTTCAATCTTCAGAGGTTCCTTAAGGAAAATAAGATGAAAAAGAAATCACAGAAAAATCTTTCCCACTTTATTACAAGGTCCTTGGAATTATGCTGGTATATGGTCATCCAAAATCCTCCCATTCACATGGAAGTACACTTCCCGACAGACTCGCCTCTCATCAAAAGTATTCTAAAGGAATATACAATAAGTGGAGATACAATCTCATATCTTGTGTGGCCCCCTCTTTATTTACATAAAGATGGGCCTCTTCTTAGCAAAGGTGTTGCTCAACCTCAACCAAAACCAAAGCAAAGGAGGCAAAGACAATCTACGGACCGCCCGGCAACTGCCCCTAGATAAAACTTCGTATAGTGCCCTCTCTATTGATAGTAGTGCCAACTTATGTCCATTCTGATTTCAATGTAAAAAGAGAGGGTGGCAATTTAACGCATTTTACCACAAATGAAAATTCAGTGAGTTAGTCGTTCAAAAGAGACTACATAATTTATATGGGTCAAATTCTGTTTATACGTCATGCATTTTTGCAAGGAATCAAAAAGTATTATTATGTATTATAAAATCTATTTCCTTTGATACACTGTGTTAGGTGCATTAAACCGCCGATGACTGTTGTTTTGGTAATGTTCTGATACTATACTGACACGCAAAAGAAACGCACAAAGCAGATAACTACTGTTTGACTATTTCTTTCTAATAATATTCACAATTTAACACTGACTTTAAGATAAAAGTTTAAGCTAACGTGGTTTAAAAGCGCCGAAAATTTGACTGAATCGTTGAATATTATTTTTTATTACATTTTCAACAGTGAAATACTGTGATTTATTTATTGAATAAAAGTGATATTCTCTCGCTGTGTGAAAGGATACTAAAATGATATTCTGTCAGAGTGTGAAAGGATATCAAAGTAAGTAAAAAATAATTTCTGGCCTGTAATAAGATAAAGATAGAAACTAAACCCTCTTGAAAGAGACTAAAACTGACAATTTCTTCCCAAACATGTTGCTAAAATCCATGTTACAATGTTTTCAAATCTCACAACTGCTAAGCTATGACGTCTCAACTATGACGTCACAGCTTATGACACTGTGTTTAGTAAGACAGAGGCAACTTTTAGGGAAAATCAAGGAAAATGTAATAAACAGAAAATTCAATGTATGGAATTTATTTCACTCGTGAGACAGGATCTTTTTTTAAAAAAAATATTTTCACACTCGCGAAAATATCAAAACACCCTGTCCCACTCGTAAAATAAATTCCATATCCAACTACAAAACATTGAATATCCTCTATTTATATAACGGTTACATGTTGATAATATCAAAGTCAACAATCGTTTCTAAAATAAGGACACATGAAAACGCAGGTAATGTAGAAAATCTGTAACGAAGGCAAGACTGTGCTTCATAACCTTTCTCTCTCTCTCTCTCTCTCTCTCTCTCTCTCTCTCTCTCTCTCTCTCAGCGTTTTACTTCTGCCACTGGTTCCGCCACACCTTTCCGTAACAAAGGTCCCTTGTCATGCAATTTTAAAGCTGGCCAAACAATGAAGTCTAACAATCTTCCTGATTTAGTATAAAACTGAAAAAAGTCTTTCTCAAACGGTCCGTTTTTCTTGTTTTCTCCAAAATAAAACACCATTGCAGGCTGCTGAATTGTCATAAACCAACAGATCTCCGTGCAGGTCTCGATGAAAATCTTCGATGATTTGAAACCAAAAAGTTTCGAATTTCTCCTTTTCTTCATAGTATTGATACATTCCTTAGTAAATAAGCACAAATTGAATTCTTTAACTCAAAAGGTTTATCACCAATACTCAGAAATAAATTGATAATTAAAGTAATTTTAATTTTGTATTTCTGTGATCATTCTGATTATATTTAAGGCTTTTTAGCTCACCTGAGCTGAAAGCTCAAGTGAGCTTTTCTGATCACATTTTGTTCGGCGTCCGTCTGTCTGTCTGTCTGTCCGTCCGTCTGTCTGTCTGTAAACTTTTCATATTTTCGACTTCTTCTCAAGAACCACTGGGTCAATTTCAACCAAACTTGCCACTAAGTATCCTTAGGTAAAGGGGATTCAAGTTTGTTCAAATGAAGGGCCATGCCCTCTTTCAAGGGGAGATAATAAAGAATTAGTGAAAAATTAATAGCATCTTTTAAAAATCTTCTTCTCAAGAACCACAAGGCCAGGAAAGATGAAACTCATGTGAAAGTATCCTCAGGTAGTGTAGATTCAGGTTTGTTCAAATCATGACCCCCGGGGGTAGGGCGGGGCCACAATGGAGGATCAAAGTTTTACATAGAAAAATGTAGGAAAAATCTTTAAAAATCTTCTTCTCAAGAACAGCAAAGCCATGATGAGTCATATTAATATGGAAGCATCCTCAGGTAGTGTATATTCAATTTTGTTCAAATCATGACCCCTGGGGGTAGGGCGGGGCCACTATGGAGGATCAAAGTTTTACATAGAAAAATATAGGAAAAATCTTTTAAAATCTTCTTCTCAAGAACAGAAAAGCCATGATGAGTCATATTTATATAGAAGCATCCTCAGGTAGCGTAGATTCAAGTTTGTTCAAATCATGACCCCCGGGGGTAGGGCGGGGCCACAATGGAGGATCAAAGTTTTACATAGAAATATATAGGAAAAATCTTGAAAAATCTTCTTCTCAAGAACAGCAAAGCCATGATGAGTCATATTAATATGGAAGCATCCTCAGGTAGTGTATATTCAAGTTTGTTCAAATCATGACCCCTGGGGGTAGGGCGGGGCCACAATGGAGGATCAAAGTTTTACATAGAAAAATATAGGAAAAATCTTGAAAAATCTTCTTCTCAAGAACAGCAAAGCCATGATGAGTCATATTTATATAGAAGCATCCTCAGGTATTGTAGATTCAAGTTTGTTCAAATCATGACCCTCGGAGGTAGGGTGGGGCCACAATGGAGGATCAAAGTCTTAAATAGAAATATATAGGAAAATATCTTCTTCTGTAGAACTGCACCCCAGGGATAGGGTCGGGCCACAATTGGGGATCGAAAATTTTATATAGGAACATATAGGAAAATATCTTCTTCTCAAGAACTGAAATCATGTTAGTCATTTTGATATGGAAGCATCCTCAGGTAGTGTAAATTCAATTTTGTTCAAATGATGACCCCCGGGGGTAGGATGGGGCCCAATGGGGGATGGAAAGTTTTACATAAGAAAAATATTTCTTCTCAAGAAAAGACCCCCCCCCCCCCCGTTAATCTTTTCAATTCTGAACTGAATTGTGCTTTTGCCTAGCCAATGTGCTCAGGTGAGCAATGTGGCCCATGGGCCTCTTGTTTGTATTTATTACATTTTGTTGCTGTTGGTGTTTGGATCAACAAAAGAATATACAATCTACCTGTGTAACGACATCGGTACTCGTCTGTGACGCCAGTTTCCTCAGGCTAGTCATTGCTTGTCTGAGTTCATAGCTAACATTCTGTCAAAAACTGAATTTCAATACTAACACCAGAAAAATAATACAATCAATAAGATATTAACCTATTGCAGGAAAGTGAAAGTTTTTAATGTATTTGTTTAATAATCATGAAATAGAGTGTTAAAAAGGTACCTCTTGTTTTAATCTAAGTGACCTAGTTATGTCTTTTATTATGTTTTCTGCTGTTTCCGTACAAACTGATGAAATATCCTACAAAAATATCGAGATAAACAAATATAAAATAGTAAAAGTTTGGTTTTAGTTGATTTTCGTCAAATATATAATCGTTTCATTTTCATTTACAGTATGTGTACAACATTTCTTTATTGTATTTGTATGCATGAATTAAAAAAAATCCAAAAAGTATTGTCATCATGTTGCAGGTTAAAAACATTTAATTTGATTTGAAGTTTGAATTAATTTAAAATGGCTCTCATCTCAGATTTATATGCATGTACCTTAACGTTCACAACACTGCATTTTGAACAAAAGGCGGCGCACATGTCTGTTCCTTTATTTGCAAAGTTTTTCTCTTTATTTATCTCAATTAAGAAATAAGATGAGACATCCTGATTTGAACAAAAAGAGCCTGGATTATGCCGACACCCCAGGTTTATTTTTTCATTCCCCAGTACAAAGATACCGAATATGGCTAATACATATTTTCAATCGATCATGAGTTGCTTTAAGAATTTATACTAATAGGTATGGTTGCTTATTTATTTCATTTATAGTAACCTTGATATTATATAAATGAGTTTTAAAGATTTGTGTAAACAATTTTCGCCCCCATTGTGTTTTAGTGCTACACTTAACATCTCCCCTCACAAACAAATCAAATTTGAAACCATGTAAAATGAGGAGTAAAAGGAGAGGTAACTTTTGGATCATCAGTTGTCCCTCTGAAGAACATCTTTACATTATACTTTTCCACATCCCATCTCTGATGTTTTTATAGGTCCGTATTTGCTGTGCTCCCAATCAGTATATTGATTCAGTCGACTTTTGAGTTGAATTACTGGTTGCTATTTTCATATTTCATTACTAAATATTTATCTTCTTGGACGGGGGTTTGTGTTTATTTTGGTCAATGCTCAGAAAGACGTTAAAATTGCCAACATTTACACTATTCAAGATGAACAGGGACACACTTTGGGTTTTATTTTTTTAAGGCTTCTATTAAGATCCAAAATTATCACTTTTTTCAACTGTAGCTTATTATGCCCCGGGATCGAAAGATCCCGGGGGTATATTGTTTTTGTCCTGTCTGTCTGTTTGTCTGTTTATCTGTTTGTCCGTTTGTCTGTCTGTCTGTTGTCAACTTTAACCTTGCCCATAAATTTTGATTGGTTGGAGCTATGACTTTCATATTTCACATGTGTATTCCTATCATATTTTACCTTTTGACCTTGACCTTGGAGTTTGACCCACTTTTGCAAAATTTTTTGAGACTTTAACCTTGGCCATAACTTCTGAACAGTTGGTGCTTGAGGTTTCAAACTTCACAAGTGTATTCTTTGTGACAAGGCCTTCCTTTGGATACCAACAACTTTGACCTTTTGACCTTGGACTTTGACCTACTTTTGAAAAACTTTAACATTCGCCATAACTTTTGCACAGTTTGTGCCTAGGGTTTCAAACTTCACATGTGTATTCCTTGTGACAAGACCTTCCTCTGGATATCAACCACTTTGACCCTTTGACCTTGACCTAAGAGTTGACCTACTTTTGAAAAACTTTAACCTTGGCCATAACTTTCGAATGGTTGGAGCTAGGGCTTTCATACTTCACATATGTACTCCTTGTGACAAGACCTTCCTTCGAATACCAACCACTTTGACCTTTTGACCTTGACCTAGGAGTTTGACCTACTTTTGAAAAACTTTAACCTTGGCCATAACTTTTGAATGGTTGATGCTAAGGCTTTCATACTTCACATATGTAATCCTTGTGACAAGACCTTCCTTTGGATACCAACCACTTTGACCCTTTGACCTTGACCTAGGAGTTTGACCTACTTTTGAAAAACTTTAACCTTGGCCATAACTTTTGAATGGTTGGTGCTAGGGCTTTCATACTTCACATACGTAATCCTTGTGACAAGATCTTTCTTTGGATACCAACCACTTTGACCTTGACATTTGACTTTCATTTAAAAAACTTTAACCTTCGCCATAACTTTTGAACAGTTGTATCTAGGTCTTTCAAATTTCACAGGTGTATTCCTCGAGACAAGATCTTTCTTTGGGTATCAACATTTTTTATCTTCTGGCCTGGATTTTGACTTGCATTTGAGAAACTTTAACCTTCGCCATAAGCTGCAATACGGGGGCATCAATGTTTCAAAAACACATCTTGTTTTTTATATGCATTTATATGTCCAACCATCATAAAAAGAAGATTTCTTACATGTTCCTTTATTATTCAAAATTTCAAGAATAAGAACCTCGATTATTTGTCAAAAAACTAAATGTTAAATATGCTATCTTATTTTTAACATTGAGAATGAACTGTAAGAAAAGTAATTACCCTCAACAATGTCTGCATTTCGTCGATAACCTCTCTCTCCAATTTTATTCCCTGCTGGGTATTTTTCGCACCTTTTGTAAATTCCTCCAAAACATCAGTCCAAGGACCGTCATAAAGTTCTCCAAAACGCTCAGCAAGTTTTATAGGTCTATTCGGGTCACTTAAATCTGTGATAGATGGATTTCCTTCCGTTATTTTGGCTCCAGCTATTTCACTCAGTCTACATTTGACAAAATTAACAATAGCATGACCGGGTAGAAGTAATTTATATTTTAATGGAGAGGTTATGAACACTTAAGTATTTAATAGTATTTTATCACATCACTCCAAACATACCTGGAAAGCCAGTAATTCTTTTCCCCAACAAGCTTACTGTTCACATGTCGAAGATCCTCTACTTCCTTTTTTAACTTTTCACATTCTAACTTAGCATCGGAATGGTGAGTGGGGTTTCTGCCCTTGATATCACCCACTTCTGATTTTTCTCTGGAAACTCGTACTTCTTTATCGAAAATTTTAGAATTCAATCTACAAGAATATCCAAAAGTAAAACCCAACAATACAAACATTCTTAAGATCCAAAGCAACAACCTCCAGCAACGTCTATTTGTACTATTATTTTCTTTTAATTTCTTTCTTCAATTAAGTTCATGTAAAAACAAAATCAGCCTAACAGTCATTATATTTTATTTTTAAGGCATGCAGCAGGAATTCTGGAATATTATATAAATCTATCAACTGTTTATCAAAAAACAATCTTTGTATTTACAACGATTGGAATTTTATCAAGATATTTTCATTAATTAGAACTGAACATTATAATTTTAAGCCAAAATCTTTACAGTTGAAAGTGATGCTAGACCAGATCACCTATCTAACATTTAATCAAGCCTGTTGCTTGTTTCAACGGCCTTTGTCACCTTTTACCTTACCAGCTTACAGCATTAAAAAAAACGGGCTTAATCGGGTTATTTGTCTAATGTCATAAAAACAAGGTTCAAATTTTCTCCAAGATTTTGACCCCTTTGTAAATCTTGCATTACATTATTTTATTCAGTTATAAACCTTTCCTTCTTTGAGATAAAAGTGTGGTGTTCTTTCACTTTTTTTCATCGATCTCCTTCCTGCAGAGAATGAAAAGAAATCACATCTGGATGTGTATAAGCACATTCCGGAAGAGTCCGGCAAAGTTTTGACAGATTATTTCCCTTTTCGTAATGGTTTTCAAGTCAAACGGAACTTATATCGAGAAAAAAAACAGATTTATTAAACCATATTTTATTTTTGAAAAAAAAAGTTAAGAAAGGAGAAAAGCCAATGCCTTGTGAAAAAATAACGCTATCTGACAACTTAAGAACAGTTAAAAACAAGGATTTTTTTTTTAACTATATATCAGGTAAAGGGTGTATTACCATCTTTACACCAACAGATCTAAATGAATTTACTCTTATGAAGTGAATAAGATGTGTATAAATTTTCAGAGAAATACATGCAGTAGTTTCTAAGAATATGCTCGGACAAAATCACATTTACAGACAAACGGACATGCTGATTCCAATATACCCCTCTAAACTTCGTTCTCCAGGAATAAAAAAAATGCTGCAATTATACTACAGTGGATGACACTGACATTAATTCTTAAATACTTAAAAATAAATTATTTTGTTAGGGTCTGATTTTTGTGATTTGAGAAAAATATTGCTTCATAAGGATATGATTTTGTGGTCAAAGAAGAGATGATAAACAAACATGACAATGTAGTTTGGATTTCGTGGTGGACGTGAATTATTGGGTCTTCTATTTTACACGCAAACAATGGATACCCCATGAAAAATTTCACAGTACAATGTACTTTATATTACTCTTAGATTGATTCATTCATAAATACAACTTATCAGTCTTCAACCAGGAAACCTATTCTGCTTTAATTTGCAAAATTACTTAAATGAATCAAAAATCTCCCCCAAGAATCTAACTGGTAATCAAAACAATTGGCAGGAAAGGGGGATGGGGGTCTACAACCACTTTTTTAACTAAATCTTGATATTTTTTTTAAATTTGGCACAAGGACCCATGCATCTTCTTGAATTATTGTTGAAATACCTTCCAATTTGAGAAAGATCCAGCATACAGGAAAAAAATGAACGGGTGTAAACATAACATCCTTCTAACATTGCTTGTATACATACCAAGAAATGATTTTATATCTACAAATTCTCACAACAGCAACCTACTGTTGTTTTTCTTCTTCGAGTGTTTTGATCTGTATTTCCATTGCTTTGATCTTCTCTGTGTATCTTTTTTTAATACAAATAGTAAATTGATTAATATTTTACCTTAACTTACACAAATGCATAAATTATATAAAACAACAAATGTAGCCACATTAATGAAATCTGTATAATTAAATAGTAAATTTTGTCATACGCTTTCTTTTCTTCATTCCAATTGTCCATGAATTGGTTTTCCTTCTGGTAAATGTCTTCCTTCTGCCTGGATTCTGTAGGTTGTGATTTAGAAATTAACTTTTCTTGCCTTGTGTTCCATTCTGCTTCCTTAGATTTTTCTTTCCTTGGATAGGAATAAATATCATTGCATACTTAATTCTCAATATCACTTTGCATTACCAGGTGCAGTGAACAATGTTCTGTAAAATGTACATGAATAATATTTTCAAGCTAAGAAGTGAAATATTCTATGAAATAGTTATATCACCTAGTATGATGATGAGTTGATGAAATCGCCTATTCGTTATTTTTTGTTTTTAATTAAAACTAGAACTGTCCAAAAGGGACAAATACCCCCCGCTGGGTTTTTCAGGGAAGGTACCAAATCACTAATGTTTTCAAGATGTGAGAGGTGTTCACAATTTGCTTAAACATTTAGAGTGAAAATTTAATTACTCATTATATTTTTTTAATGAATGAAACTAAGGTGCAGCCTAATAAAACATCAATACTAATAATTACAGTGTTTTTTATTACATTGAAAAAATAGTTTGCAACTATCTGTCATCTTTGTGAGTCATGACACTCTGCAAATTGATTGTTAAAAAAAAATTTATCATAATTAACTAGAAAACTGACCAGTCAGCAAGGGCCCCGCCGAGGGGTGAAAAATATAAGGGTGCAGCTTACAGAATGAGAATTTTGATTACAAAAATTAAAAAAAATGTGAAGAAGAATATGCAATAACAACTGTATTTATAAAATTTCAAGATAATTCCTAAATATCCAACAACCTGTAAAGAGTATCCCTGTATTTACATATTAAGGCAGTAAAAACATCATACATAATGTAACATGTATCTATAATAACTCAATTAAATATATATTTAAACAAGAATAAAGCATGTGTTTTTTAAAATGCCAGCCTTCAGTGAATGCAAATATCACCCAGGCTTGACCTTAACTTCAAAACAAACATCAGTTGCAGACAAAGGTTAATTTATCTTAAAGTGACAAATAAAGATAAGCCTGGAAAATTTTCTGCCCCAAACAAGATAATTAATCCCAGGGGATTAATTGGACTGCTCTCTCATCCTTTTCTTCCAAGTTTACTATAAGAACTTTTTCAGTAATGATAGAATGAGTTTATTATCAGACTATGTGATAAAATTAATAGTATTCTTGAATTTACATACAGTAGCAAAAAAAAAAAAATGAATAAATAAAAAAATAAAAACAATTTTTTTTTTTTAAAAAACCCATATCTTTATGTAGATCTTGTTTTAGTGCAATGAAATCATAACTCATTGTGTATTTTACCAAAATAAAGTATGAATATTATTTAAATCCACATTTCAGAGAATGTAAACATCATTCAGAATTGACCTTAACTTCAAAACAAACTTCATTTGCAGACAGAGGTGTTAATTAATCTCAATTTGACAGAAACAGATAATGCTTTGGATTTTCTTCAAGAGGAAAGTTAATTAATCCCATGGGACTAGTTGCAGCTTTCATAGTTTACAATAGGAACATTCTCAGCAGTTATCTCTCTTTGCTCTGGCATTCATTCTAATGTAAAGTTAAGGAATCTACCCCACCACCCCAGCTCCAAACTGGATGACATAGAGAACCAAACTTAGCATCAAAATATGTCTTACTGCCTCTTCAACCAACATACCAAATTTGTACTTAATTGGTCAACTACAAAAAAAGTTATTAGAAAAAAACAGAAAATTTGTGGACGGAAGAATGACAGGCAGACAGACAGACAGACAGACAGACAGACAGACAGAGTGATTACTATAGGGCACCCGCAAATCCTTGCGGGGCCCTAATTATACAAAATCAAATTGATCTTAATACCTTTATATCAAACTCATTTTAAAAATAAAAGGCTGGTTCCAGTAACTATGTATTTTGACAGACATAAATTACAATTAAGAGACTTAGACAACAGAGATCTTTATTTCTTTCTGCCCAATTCCCAGGAGATATAGATAAGACCTGCTTGATCAGAGATGCCCTAACAGCTTCCCACACTGAACTCGTTAATTAATCTTTAACTGGATGCATGTCCACTCATTACTCCCAAGGGACAAATGGATTTACACTATCTGCTGTGTAATGTAAAAACTGTTTTTAATACTTTGTGATCTTTTTTTTTTTTTTTAGTTCTAATGAGTTGTTTTAAGCTGTAGTTCACATTTTTGTACAGATGTTCTAGATTCTATGTCTCAAACCTTAGACATGAACCCGAAATGACTAAGTCAATAAAAATGATTAAAAAAAAATCTGTAAAATGCAGAAAAATTATCAAATAATGTTGAAAATACCAGGTGCATATCTTCATATGGTAAATAATAAGTGTACAAATTTTCATACAAATCTATGCAATAGTCTCTGAGAACAGATCCAGACAAAACCACATAATAAAAATGAAAAAAAACACCTGTAAATTGCAAAAAAATTATCCAATCGTGATGAAAATACCAGGTGCACACCTTCATATGGCGAATAATAAGTGTACAAATTTTCAGACAAATCCTTGCAACAGTTTCCAAGAAATGGTCTGGACAAAATCTCGTCTACAGACAGACGGACAGACAGACAGACGGACAGACAGACGGACAAGCTGATTCCAATATACCCCCCTAAACTTCGTTTGCGGGGGGTATAAAAATTATTTAATTATTTATTTATTTATTTGCATCTTTAGAGCGTCATCATAAAATTGTAACCCCTGGGGAAAAAAGTCTGGTTCATTCAGTATATTTAGTACGGGTTTGGATAACGATGCAAACACCGATTTTTTAAATTATCTGCACTTGCGGCTCAAGTGAGCTTTTCTGATCAGAATTTGTCCGCTGTCTGTCGTTGTCTTTAT